ATAGCCTACCTATGTTGAAGTTTTTGATTTAGTTCAATGAAGCAGAAAAATTGAAAATTTGAACAAAAAAAAACCAATAGCTGGTCGAAGTGACAAGGCGCGTATTGTTTTTATTTAGTTTTAGTTCTTTTCCTGGCTTCCCTTAGCAAATGGTCATTTTGTTGGAGTTGCTTGCAATTAACTGGCTCCAAAAACTTTAAGGATTCCTGATCTTTTCCTGTAAGTCAAGGTAAAGGATTGGGAAGAATTACATGTTTGACAAAATTAGGAAAACAACTCAACGCCAACATAGCATACGTCTGGCACCTCCAATGTTTGCTTAGAGACCCGGGTTAGAAAAAGCATAAAGGATCTATGCAAAACGGTGAGATATGTTGGAAATCTTCGTCCATAGACCTGTTCATCTCGCTTGTATTAGAGAGAAGTTCCCACAGCAGAAAAGTCGAGGAAAAAAATATCCAAGATGTTGACGTTCTAGATTAGTTCTTTAACCCCATCTTCCTCCGACCATTTCTCTCCACTTACGATTTTTCTTCATTTAACTTCTTCTATCAATCCGCATTAGGAAAAACAGTGAACACTCCATGTAGAACTACATGTCCTCGTATTGAGAATGACTGGTGGAGGAGAACCTAACCTGCATTTTAATTTCAAGATAGGATGCCATGTCTTAAATCGAGGATGTGTTATACTACCAGAATTTGAGGCGCTTCAACCTTATATTTCTTCGTGCATGAATTCAGCACAACTGAGTTTATGTGCGGAGGGGGAGTGCACTCATCCCACATTACAGTACGCTTTTATTAGGGTTTCGCTTATTCTACGTGAGGACTGCGGCGTTGTAAAATGCAGGATCTCTTTACATCTTATGTAGTAGTTTTATTACCCCTTGGATTTTAATTACATCCCTCTCGTTTGGTATGCTTTATCTCTTTGGATCAAGTACATCACTTTCCTTTGAGTGAATGCTTTGTCCTTAATAGCTGCGTATTCCCACTGCTTTTGGAATTAAATATCTTCCAAATGTGGACTTCTGGAGTTTCATTGCAGATATACTCAATCTGGCTATATGATTGGCATCAATCAGCATTCCCTGTTGTTGGTAGACGGATGGAATATTGAGCATCGCCGAGACTGCGAGGTTAGGGTAGATAAACGAAGTTTGGAGGTTAGATCAGGCTTCACTGAAAAGTTTTTAGCCATCTTCCGCTTCTGCTATCCCAAGATGTCCTCGTCGAAATCAGGAAAACAGCAACGTTTCACTCCAAAACTCGGATTTGAAGCTGGATGACAAAATGTGAGCCTCTGCTTTGTTGCAACAGGAACTTTATAACAAGGGATTTAGACTGTGAAAACTAATAAATGTCATTTTTTTAATTTTTTATTTAAGAAATATAAGACAAGACTTCAGCCGCAGGTATATTATTTTGAGCTTTCTCTACACTACTTTAATTTCTTTCTTTTAATCACAGTTTTCTTTGCAAGTATTGATTTAAGGATATTGATTCTTTTAAGGCACAATTATTCTAGCGCCTCTGCTTCCTTGAAGACGGAACAATCTCATCACTTTCTTCACCCCGTCAAAGTCAGTTTTAGCAAACCTCGAGTTTATTTCACACTGGGTAATTCATTTATGTGAGGAAAAATGCGAGAAAAATATCAGCCTTGAGGATATTTTGAAATAACTGTGGCGTGGATGATCTCAACATATCATGGCCCAAAAGCCATTGAGTTACAATTTCTAGGCTGT